TCTCTTCTTGTTTCTTTTCTTTTTCCTCCAACCACTGCTGTGGTTTTTCCTCTTGTTTATATTCTCGTCTCTTCTTGTTTCTTTTCTTTTTCCTCCAACCACTGCTGTGGTTTTTCCTCTTGTTTATATTCTCGTTCTTCTTGTTTCTTTTCTTTTTCCTCCAACAACTGCTGTAATCTCTCTTATTTTGCTGTTCGAGCTGCCACTGTTGCAAGTTTTCTTGCCACTGTTGTTGTCTCTCTTCTTGTTCTTCTTGTTTCTTTTCTTTTTCCTCCAACAACTGCTGTAATATCTCTTCTTGTTTATTTTCTCGTTCTTCTTGTTTCTGTTCTTGTATTGCTGCCATCAAATCTGCTAAGTCGTAGTTTGATTTGCCACTTCTCGTTTACATCTTTTTTTTTCTTTTCTGTCCCTCTCTCTGACACCAATTTGTTAGGTATCTACTCGTTTGTTAATTTCCGGTATACATTCTTTCCGAGGAATCAGCGATACAGGTCCTTTCTTAATTAAACCTAGTTTATTCTTTCTCAATACAACTTTGTAATACACAGAATTTCCACAGTCACTTTAAACCTAACAATCTTTATAACACACGCTATAAATCACAGTGATTCACACACTTTACTTACGGTGCCTACTGTTTGCTTGACTCAACTATCTGTCTCTTCAATCTATCTATATCCCTTCAATTGCGCTGGTTTTTCTCGCCAGTCTTATATACTAAAAAAGAGGGCGCCTTGAACAACTCGGGCTTTCCCAATAATTCACGATCCTTCGAGAAACTCCAGCGTGCATGCTCCCAATGTCACGCAACTTCCGCTGTCCTAACAAAAGTGACGACCTGGCAAACAGTTATATCGAGAAAGTTATGGGAATTTGTACTGCGTCAATCCCATGATAGATTAACAGGAGGACGTCTTGGAGTTAAGAAAACATTGAGTCACCTACGGCAGAGATTTTACTGGATAGGTATGAGGCAAGATGTGGAAGAATGGTGCAGGACATGCAGTACATGTTGTACTAAATGAGGACTCAAGCATAAGGGACGTGCTCCAATGAAGTTATATCAAGTTGGTGCACCAATGGAAAGAGTAGCCATTGACATTGCTGGTCCTTTGCCCCAAATGCGTGCTGGAAACAAGTACATTTGTGTGGTGATGGATAATTTCACCAAGTGGCCTGAGGCATATGCAATACCAAATCAGGAAGGTACAACTGTAGCTTCAGCTATTAGTGATTTCTTTTTCAGGTTTGGTATGCCATACGAACTGCATTCAGATCAAAGCCGTAACTTTGAATCAGCTGTGTTCCAAGAATGCTGCAAGTTGTTTGGCATCCGAAAGACCAGAACAACGCCACTTCACCCACAGCCTGATGTGATGGTAGAAAAGTACAACTGGACACTCAGTTAAGAAAACACAGCTTATGTACTTCTGTACACAAAAAGACAGCCCAGAGTATTATTTCCCTTGAAGTAGAATTTCATTCAACTAAACACGATAATCTTAAAAGTGAGTCATTACTCTATAGCTACGTAGTAAAACTGGTTAAAGAGAATATGCCGGGATTTCACAAGTAAACTCGCTTTTTTATAGAGTAGACAGCTTCACCTCATGACCTTATCTCCCTCATAGCATTGACTGGCTGTTGCATTTGGTCAATGTTATACCAGGCCAGAAAAGTATATTACAGTGCTAATCTTTTGAACTCGGATGATATATGTTACTAAAATATCCTTTTGGGTAAAATAAACATTACTTAATTGAGAGAACAAAGAATCGAAGCAACTAGAACAAAACATTTCAACGACTTTCTGGATAGTTTGTTACTTTCATTACGGCACCAAAAAAATATAACCGGAAATTTTCAATATTGCTAAAGCAGGTAGAAAATGTACATGTACGCATATCACATTATCCGTGCTTTGTTCAACTCAAGGATCGAGCCTCGAATTTTAACACTATAATACCTGAAATTTACCAATAAGCTACCAGGGGACTTCTTCTATAACAAACGCTCACGTCTCACGTGGCCAACAATATTTTGTCCGCATACATTACCTACACACGTTGTCCCGTCACGTTGTGACCATCCTATATATACCAGACTACCCCCAATCTGGTAAATGCTAGGGCATTCATGAAGAAACAGGATATTTCTAGAAAACAGGTGGTGTGATACTAGTCACGTGACCTCGCTGACGCAACCATATGTATTGTTTTAGTCATTAGCAAAATATCGTCGACGATTATTTTGTTAATTGCGACTATTGAAATTAAGTGCATCGTAAAGTTGTATTCGGAAAGAATAAACCAGTTTTATTTAAGAAAGGACTTGTGTCGCTAAAGTTTCGTCGGAACGAATTTACGGAAAATTAATTAACGAACGGAGACGTAACAGTGGTTTATCAGTGCGTTTCGATCGATTACCTCAAAAGTGGTCAAGTGGTTAGGGTGTAGGATAAATTCGTAGCATTTTCCGATATCCGTTTGAATACCCCAAATCTTTTTAGTTTGTTACTGGAGCTCTTAAATGAGTCATGGAAATAAATCCTACCATTATCTACCCAAGTTAAGACCGGTAACTTTTTTGTGTGTCAGAATATGAATATACACCTAACCTCGGTATAAATGTATAACGTTAAGCACTTTAAAGGTAGTTTCTTCATCTGTTACTGTTGCAGCAATTATAGCTCAGTTGAAATGTGCGATTAACATGCTTTGTGCTATGTGAATATCTGAATAAAATATAAACATGGTAACAATATAATTTTAAAAAAGCACATTAAATATAGTCCATGCCACGATTTAAACACGGTAACAGAACGTTCAACACAAATATCTGAAATTTTATTTTCCTGCACTAAAGAAAGTTTTGCAATGTCATCATGTATGTTAAACATAGATAATGCCATAACGTCTGAAAACAGTCTTAGCATAGAAAGATAAATACCAAAAATCTGATTTACCGACAATCTAGCTTTTAAAATATATGTTTACGTATTTGATTTTTGTCAAACTTTTATCGATGAAACTAGTAAGCTATACGTACGTATTCAAAAGAATGCAATAATTAAAATAGATACAATCAATGCAGCATTATTACAATGCACATACATTTTACGATATCATTAGTGATTTTGTTGTTAGTATATACGTGGATAACAATAGACACATTTTCTGTTTCACTGGATCAATGTTATGAAACTAATGTGACAGTTTTATCACACTAAACGTATAAAATGGATTAACGTTACCAATGTAATGTAACGGATTTATCACACTAAACATATAAAATTGGATTAATGTTACTAAAGTAATGTGACTGACACTACACTAAACATATAAAACTGGACTAATGTTACCAAACTAATGTGACAGTTTTACCATACTAAATGTCTAAAACTAGATTAATTTTACTAAAGTAATATATCAGGTTTATCACACTAAACGTATAGAAATGGATTAATGTTATAAAACTAATGTGATAGTTTTATCACACTATACGTATATAACTGGATTAATTTTACTAAGGTGGTTCAAGTATAAGATAAGTATAATATACGGTACTTACTGTCCTGTTGTTCACATAAGTAACTTAAATTACCAGTTGTTACATTACGCTTTATCCTCTCTTTCAGTTATTCAAAGTAGTGAAATGTTTTAGTGGACGACATCAGCAAGAACTGAAATACACACCTTCTGAAAGGAGAGTTTTAAAGTTTAGAGTACATAAACTCGGTTGAAGATATACCAGGTTATGGTAAAGATCACTTTTATCAGAATTCAGCAACCCTCCACTGAATGGATCTGTATGCTCTCGATTTCCTGTGACTATTATATTATTATAGCATTTTATTCTCCATACTCAAATCTACAAGGTTGAATCAACCAGAAGTGAGAATGTTATCTTAACCATGCTCCGGATATGTGACGTTGTAAGAAAGGAAGCCATGTCGCAATTATTCCGGCCTGGTATTTCCACTCTAAATTTACAATTGTAATTGTGTATGCATATATATGTTGATTATTTAAAAAAACAATGAGAGCACTAATTACTTCGCTGAAGGGGGAAGTTTTGAGTTATTTTACTTAAAGTATGTGCAATTCTAGGGAAAACCTCATAATCTAATAGAAATTGAAAAGCGTTTATGGTTATAAAATTACAGTACCCACTTACTGTGGGTATTTTTCGGCGCAAATGTTAAGACATGTTTTCTGCTAGGAACAACTCTAGTTAAACATTAAAATCTTGGAATGACCGACTTTTACATGACATATGTAAACATGGCTGAACTTTCAGAATATATGAAGTCATCATATCTGTTCATAGTTCAAATACTTTTCAGCAAACGATTTGATTTAAATACTACTTTGATATTTTCTGAAGAACTCAGATGAACACAAATGTAATAAGACATGAACTATATTTAAACACTAGCGAAAGTACCCGGCTTAACTCGGGTTAGTTAATAGGTTGATATATTCTAAAGTAAAAAGTAAAGAAAGTACTGTAACTTAAGAATTATTTATTATCAATGAACTTTATCATTGCGTTAAATATTTCAGATTTATATTTGATATCAAAATTTCTAACACATTTTACTTTAAACTTTTAGTACATAGACTAACAACAATATTAGGTTATACTTTTGTTGCTAAGCGACAAGACATTAAAGACATTGTTGTAACGCATTGTTACCAAAACGCACTCTTTTTCTATATATTAGAAGTTGTTACACAAGTAACCGCTTCTTTTCTATATGGATTTTTGTTAGATTGCCTCATTAAAAAGATGCAAACGTACGTGGATAAAATAAGTAATACCCAGGTGCACACTCTCAATATGGGTACAAAATCTCAGGCTTCTAGGTTCTTTCCTCTTGAATTTATAGCAAGCACACTTCTTTTCTATGTGGTTTTTCGCTAGCTTGCCTCAAAAAAATGCGCGCGCACGTGGATAAGTAATAATACCCAGGCGCATACCCTCAGGGGTCACTTAGAATGGATTTAAAATTTCTTGTTTCTAGGTTTTTTCCTTTTAGAGCTGTGGTGGTTACACACACACACGCATGTGCGCATGCACATGAGTGTATGTGTGTGATTTCTATTTGTAATATAAGGAACTACTTCTTTTCTATGTGATTTTTCGCTAGCTTGTCTCATTAAAAAGATACGCACGCATGTAAATATGTAATAATACCCAGGTGCACACTTTCAGGGTCCATTTAGTTTGGGTGCAGAGACATGTCCTTTTATTATTATAGATCTATAATAATAAAAGGTCATGTCTGTTGGTCTGTGTGTTTGTGACCACCATAACTCCAAGAGGAAAGAACCTAGAAACCTGAGATTTTGCACACATACTAAGTAGACACTGAGGGTGGGCACCTGGGTATTATTACTTATCCACGTTTGTGTGCGCATTTTTTAATGAGGCAAGGTAGGGAAAACTACATAGAAAAGAAAATATGACTGCCATATCTCCAAGAAGAAAGAGCTTAAAAACCTAAAATTTTGCACTAATACCAAGTGGACCCTGAGGATGTGCACCTAGGATTTACTTATCCATTTTCGTGCGCGTATGCGAGTGCTCATCTTTTTAATGAGGAATGTTAGCGAAAAATCCATATAGAAAAGAAGTGTGACCGCCATAGCTCCAAGGGGAAAGAACCTAGACACCTGAGATTTTGTACCCATACTGAGAGTGTGCACCTGGGTATTACTTATTTTATCCACGTACGTTTGCATCTTTTTATTGAGGCAATCTAACAAAAATCCATATAGAAAAGAAGCGGTTCCTTATGTAACAACTTCTAATATATATAGAAAAACAGTGCGTGTTAGTGACCAAGCGTTATAACAATGGCTTTTATATCAAGCTTCTTAGCAATAAAAGTATAGCCTAATATTATTGTTAAGAGGCTATTTGCTGAAAGTATAAAATGAAATGTATAAATTAAAAAAAATAAAAAAATATTTGTTGTTTTCTAATTTAGAGGCTCGGTTGATTAAAGGGGTTTGTTTTTTATTATCTATTTTTATTATTTGAATTTTAAAAAGGACAAGTCGGAGGGAAGGTTACTTTTATAAACAGGCAACATTCCGTAAAAGAGCAACAAAAGTTATAGTTATACTTTTATGCTACAATGGGTTAAGAACACGCACACTGGCATAGTTATCTAGAATAAATCAATCTAATCACTCGAGCAAAACCAGCTACTTTCGTTAATATGGAATAATACAAACGTACTTTTAATCATAAGCAAATGATAATTTTAAAAGTATTTATGTTTCTTACAACACTACCAGAGACCCTGAAATGAAAGACTAACTTGCGCCATGGGACTGTCTCTTTTCATTCACTTAATGATCACAAGAAAAAGGACTTTACTGTGAACGACCATAGCTTATTACCGTTTATATGCGAACCATAAATTCCAAGATTAGAGACTTAAGAACAACTTAATACCATGCCAGAGGTGTTTACCTTCATTCATTCTAAACAGGAAGACCTTAAAATAATATATGTTACAAACATTTTTAAACAATGTATAAAACGATATCTATAAAGAGTTATTTGTTATTTCAATGTTGTTTTTCTAAAGATCTTTTGAATATTTAAAACAAACTTAAAAAGTAATATCAATAGGAAAATGGAACATAAACAACATAGGAATATTTTTTCATTAGAACAAAGATGCAGTTCTTTTGGAATTGTTAGTTTCAAATCAACAGATAAATATTCATTTAAATATTTGTAACATCATCATGTACAAATTTTATATTTCATTTGATTTCTTAAATAAAACTGTATACCAAGTTCAGTTTTGCATGAACTTAACCCCAAAAGTGACAAAATACCAAAATGGCCGCCAAATTTCTGATCTACTCAAGGTAAAAAAAAGATGCTCTAATTAAGACTATATTGTATTTTTTACTAAATGAGTATGGAACCATTTGCTCAATTATTACTTAAATTGTGGCAAAACATCTCAAGGTCAAATTGTTTCAAAGATATTCGTAAGATAAATTTATAATTTCGTAAACTCACTAATTAATGACGAGAAGTTTATTTAATAGATTATATATCAAAGCAAATCGTAACAAAATTTTAACTTTATTTCACTACGATTTACCGAACTAAGATAAAAGACTCTTTCACAAGTTACTGACTTTTAATCTATAAATTAAAATAAATGGTTAAAGACTATTTTGAAAGATGTAAATTAGTTCAAGTGAAAAATAAAGTTTTTGACTCACATTTACAGTCTGACATGGCCTGGTGGTTATGGCGCTCGAATCCCCGTCACAAGGAATATTATCGTCCTTTCAGCCGTGGGAGCATTATAATGTGGCGGTCAATCCCACTATTCTTTGGTAAAATAGTAGCCTAAAAAACTGGTGGTGGGTTTTGTTGACTAGCTGCCTTCCCTGTAGTTTATCACAGCCAAATTAAGAATGGCTAGCGCAGATGGCCCTCGTATAGTTTTGCGCGAAATCGAAAGAAACAAACCAAACCTTACGTTTAAACATTGGTATAATTGTCTTATTTCTGTAGGAGACTTTGTGTTAAGAATGTGATAATCAATCAGTTGAGAACGACAAAAACAACAAATATTTTGTGTAATAAATACAAAAAAAATAATGAATTTTGATGTACTACTAGCTATGTTAAACATACATTATAAAATTAATTGTTTTTCTTCCTTCGAGCAAAGGAAAATGTGTTAAGCTTTTAAGTAATAAAAATCGAACATGTGCTGTTTTATTGATAAATGTGATATGTTTTTCATGTTACTGTCATAAAAACAAAATGTGTACTGCGGAAACTTCTATGATATATAGGTGTGTTCAAACTCAGAATAATTTGACTGTAAAACGAAGGTAAAATGTTATTTTGGGACAAAAAAACATTAAATTGTTTTTTTTTCGTCATTCATATATCTGATACCTGTAGACATGAGAAATTTACTTGATTTTATTTGTTCTAATGTAAAGATATAGTTATAATAACTACTAAGATAAGCCATTAGCATTAGTAATTTATTTAAAATGATTAAACCTAATTTTTTTGTAACAAAAGATTGTAACTAATGAGTAACACTTCGCCTTTTCCGTTTTTTTTAAATCGAATAGCAAGAGGGAGTCTTACTTTTGGAATGTACCTACAACAATATTGTCTTATGACTATAAAGGTCAGTCAAGTTATAGTACGTTCGTATTGTTACATTCATATTTAAAAGTAAAGATATGGCAAAGTGTTACAGTTCAACACAGGTAGCAGTTTACGTATGCAATTTTTCTTTCAATTTCAACATTATTTCCTTTGATGCAATGTGAAAATCTTTTTTTTTTTAAACAGTTAATGAAGTAGGACAGTATTGATTGATTATATGGGATGCACATCTCCTTTAATTCTTGAGCTAAAATATGAATGATTGAACCCACATAAACACGGCTGCACCTTGGACGTGTAAATTTGTATATCACGAAAGAGCGCTTCGTTTTGAGCACAATAAAGTTAACCGATTACATAAACGAATTGTAAGTTTAAATACAATTCTAAATTCAATATGAGTAATCTTTTTTTACTTTGACATATTTTTCTTCACTAAAAGAAAAGTTTGTAAGAGAAATGCAAAAATCTGCAAGAAAATTTCAAAGAAGATGTTTCTGGATTCAGTTTTATACACTTTAAACATGTAACTGAATTTCAGATTAATAAGTTTTTTATGGAATTGAGGTTTAACAGTTAACTAAGTAACATAAGAGCTTAGTCTTTCGACTTCCTTAGAAAATACTACCTTTATAATTGATAGTTTACTTGGTTACCACTAACAGTATTGTAATAAACATATTACTTTCACGAGGCTTAAGATTCTCAAT